AACAAGCGGGGAAGAACGCACCGGTAGCCCGTTTATTCAATATACAAGTGGGGGGACACACGATGCCCCAGTCTCAGTGGACAATGGGGAGACACACAAGTGCCTTTTTTCTCAGTTGGTGACATTGGGAGACACAATGGACCCCGTGTCTCAGTGACAGTGGGAGACACACGGTGCCCGTGTCTCAGTGACAGTGGGGGATGTGCAGTGCCCGTGTCTCAGTGGACAGTGGGAGACATACAGTGCCCGTGTCTCAGTGGACAGTGGGAGACATACAGTGCCCGTGTCTCAGTGGACAGTGGGAGACATACAGTGCCCGTGTCTCAATAACAGTGGGAGGCACACAGTGCCCGTGTCTCAATAACAGTGGGAGACGCACGGTGCCCGTGTCTCAGTGGTGACAGTGGGAGACACACGGTGCCCGTGTCTCAGTGGTGACAGTGGGAAATGTACAGTGCCCGTGTCTCAGTGGTGACAGTGGGAGACACACAGTGCCCGTGTCTCAGTGGTGACAGTGGGGGATGCACAGTGCCCGTGTCTCAGTGACAGTGGGAGACACACAGTGCCCGTGTCTCAGTGGTGACAGTGGGAGACGCATGGTGCCCGTGTCTCAGTGGTCACAAGCAGCAGTTTTCAGTAGGCAGGACGGTGTAGCAACAGGGTGCTCTGGAGACCACCAGGGCCTTGACCTCACACAGTGGTCAGGCGGGGGGAGGGGCCGGGTGTGGGGACCAAGCACGAGGCCCTGGCTCCTGAATTAGCAGAGCTCCCTTCCCAGCATGTCTTGGCACCTTGTCCCCTGGGCCCTCACACACCTGTGGGGAAGGGCAGCTTCCGAGTCCGTGCCAGAGTGAGGCAGGGCGCCCTTGCGAGGGGCTGAGCCCCATGGGGAGGAACAGACCCGAGGACCCACGCGGCTGCTCAGCTCAGGGCCCCAGGATCCACTCCCCACCTACCCCCACCCCAGCCTAGGGGTCTGCGCCACCCCTGCGTGGGGAGTAGTGCTCGATGACCAGGTCACAGAGCCCAGGGGCAGAGGCCCCGCCCACCTGGGGCTGTGAGAAATGGGGCTGCAGCTGTCATGCATGCGGTACATGGTGGCGGCTGACCGATGCTTGCCGAAGGAGTGAACCCACGAACGGTGAGTGAGTCAGGCTGGGCAGAGCCGGCCAATGGACCGGCTGTCTGTCCCCCTCTGCCGTGGTGTGGACGCTGACCATGAGGGTGTTGACTGCTGCTTGTCCTGCTCATGCTCCAGGCCCACCCGGGAGAGCGAGGACGAGGAGGACGAGGAGAAGAAGGGGCGTGGGTGCTCCCTGCAGTACCAGCACGCCGTGGTGCGCGTCCTCACCCAGTTTGTGACCGAGTCACCTGACCTGGGCCAGCTGACCTACATGCTGGGCCCCGACTGGCAGTTTGACATCACTGACCTGGTGACCGAGTTCATGAAGGTGGAGGAGCCAAAAGTCGCCCAGCTGCAGGAGGGCAGGACCCTGGCTGGTCGGGAGCCAGGGATCACCACCGTGCAGGTACGGCCGCCCGCTCTGTCTGCCGCTCGTGTCAGAGAACCAAGCTTTGTGCTACACGCAGCTGAGGGAAGTGTCCAGTCCCTTTTGCAGACAAAGCTGAGTGAGCTGCGTAGTGTAGGGGTCTTCCCCACTGTGACCTCTGCTGGTGGGAGGTGGCAGAACCTTTGGAAGCTAGCTTCCCCTGCACATCCAAGTTCCATCGTTTAGTTCTATTACACCTTGAACGCCAGACAAGAAATCTAATTTTTAAAAATGTTTATGGGAGAGCGAGCGAGTGAGCACCCCTCTATCACCTGGTCACTCTGCAAGTGCCTGCAGTGGCTGGGGCTGGGAGCCAGGGACGTAAGTCAGCTGTCCCATGCGCTGGCAGGAACCTACGCCTGAGCCCTCACTGCTGACCCGGGTCTGTTTCTCAGGAGTTGGAGCTGGGTGTCAGACTCCGGCACTTTGACGTGGGACGCAGGCACTTTGCCCAGCATCTTAACCAAACGTAAATGCTCATTCTGACAGAAGAATGTAAAGCCATGTGTTTGTAGTGAAGACAAGAAGGAACCCATGATTAATGCTCTTTATTTTATCATAGTAAACTAGAGTATTCCTAGCCAATTTGGGCAGGATAATTATGTGGAAATGGTATAGCATACTTTCTTTTTTCCCAAAAACCATTTTTTAAGTTGTACATATTTATGTGGTTCTATGAGATGTCTCATTGCATGTGTATTTTCATAATTTCCCCATATACATTTAAAATGTTGTTTTCAGTAGTTAATTAGGTCATGTTTTGGGTGTGGCCAAAGTTAATTTGCTCAAAGCTGGCTGAGACACGTCATATTCTGCGACTTTTCTGTTCTCGTGAAACAAATGACTGCAAATCCACACGCGAGAACGGCACTCACTGTGGACTCGTGTTCTGTGGGTCAGGCGTCCAGGTGGGGTTGGTTGGGTTCCGTGTGTGGCGTGTTGGCTGGGCGAGGCCCATGTCCGCAGGTGGGGGGAGGGAATTGGCTTCGAGCTCATTTGCACCCTTGGAACAACTGGTTCCCCATAGCCTGGAGGTCGCTGTCTGCGGATGGCTGGCAGCCCAGGGTCACTGTCGCCTCCAAGAGGACCCTGCCTCCCCCTTCAGCGTCAGGAAGGCCAAGCTGCTTCCCACCCACATGTTCAACCTCTGAGCTTCCTTCTGCCGCCAGCTTGGGAGATGTCTCTAGGCGTGAGGCCCAGTGATGGCGTTGAGTCCGCGGGAGAATTGAGGCCAATCTCAGCGTTTCGGGGCCAGCGGTGCCGCGGAACAGCAGCATGCAATGCTTCCTCATGCTCTCAGGTCCCAGGACTCAGGGTGGACCCTACTAGGACCTCCTCCTGCCTCCTGTGTGTTCCTCCCGGCCAGCCCTGGACACACTCGGGGGATTAGGCGGGGCATTGTGACTCTCCGTCCTGCTTTGTTGACCTGTTGTGCAAGGATGACCACGGCCTCCACGGTGGTCTTGAAGAATGTCCGCCTGCCCCCTAGAAGGGACTTGAGCCAGGGAGGAGGGCTGAGCGTGGTCTCCTTCCAGGCTTAACACATTCTCTGGTCTCAAAGCCTAGGAGTGTGCCCAGTCCCAAGGGGGCAGATTTAGTAACTGCCCCTCAGTCAAACCAAGTGCATGCTAGAAAATACATAGCTGTTGTCATGGTGTGACTCAAAGGAAAGCAGGTGGGCCAAAGTGACCCTCATGAAACTCTGCCAGGTGCCAGGTGCCCTGGACAACAGCGTAACACTTACCCAGTGTGTTCCAGCCGGCCTCGTGTGTCAGAGCAGGAGGGTGTGGTGGGGCCCTGTCCACGACGGAGCGACCTCGGTGGAGCAGGGCAGACACGAGGCTCCCACTTGCCTTCCAGGTGCTGTCCCCTCTCTCTGACTCCATCCTGGCCGAGAAGACGGTGATCGTCCTGGAGGACCGCGTCACCATCGCGGAGCTGGGCGTGCAGCTCGTGGCTGGCTTATCTCTTTCCCTGCAGCCCCACAGAGCAGACAAAAGGGCCCTGGTCTCCATAGCAACGGCCCAGGACGTTCTTCAAGCCCCACAGCAGGTGAGAGTCCCGGCCTGAGCCCTGGTCAGTGGAGACAGCGTCTCCCCCGGGTGACTGCCCTGCAGAGGGGCTGGGAGACGCTCGGAGCTGTGACTGCTGGTTCCCGCAGCTCCTTCTCGCTTCTCCTCCAGACTTTTCTGTCTCTGAGAAAAGATAGCAGCGGCTTAGACACAGCTTCCTGTGACACGCTTTCCACCCAGCCACGGGCACATATGCCGTTTGCTTTCCACACAGCCTCACACACATATGCCACTCGATTGCCAGCTGGTCTTACCTGGGCCAGACCGTGACCGAGAGAGCACAGCCTTTCCCTTCTGCCAAGCAGAGCAGGTGGTTTCGATCGTTGGAAATTCCATTTTGGCTACTTAACCCGGCATAGCTCATAGGCACCAAATTTCCACTGTTTTCTGCAATTATTGTCAACTGCAAATCTCTTCTCCGCCTTTGTTCTTGTACCGAGCATTTGTAAAGATGTGGGAGCACCGGGCCGCTCCAGGAAGCCAGGCTCGGGGTGCACCCTTCACCACGTGCTCCCACCCAGAGCCTCTGCCGCCCCGCTGGCCCTGGCTGCCCAGGAAAGAACGTTCCAAGTGTTTCTATCTTGAGCAGGAGCCTGATTAGTTGCACCTGGAATTGATTCAGATAAATTGCCTGATCTTTCAAAATGTTTTTAGAAAGGTCAAAGTCAAATTCTGTTGTATAGCGTGCAATAAATTAATTTACACTCGAATGCGTTCATTATGGTATATTATTTGTTCCTCAGAGTACTGGCATGTCAGCACAAAATTGATGCCAGTTTAAGGCATGACAAGAATTGCTCAAGTTTATAAAACATAGATGTTTATTTTTTTCTCCATATACTTAAAGAATTTATAAAGGGAATCTTATTTATCTTTGTGAATTTGAAGGAACCTGGTTATAACCTAATGCTTTGGTTTCATTTTCCTTAGGAAGCAATAGTCAGTTCTTGGATTTTGTTCAGTGATGGTTCGGTGACACCTTTAGACATTTACGATCCCAAGGATTTTTCTGTCACTGTCTCATCGTTGGATGAAATGGTGGTGTCTGTCCAGCCGAACCTTCAGTCCCAGTGGCCCGTGGTGGTTGCGGAAGGTGAGGGGCAAGGGCCCTTGATTAAGTTGGAGATGATGATCAGTGAGCCGTGTCAGAAGACCAAGAGGAAGAGTGTTCTTGCCGTGGGGAAAGGAAACGTCAAGGTCAGATTTGAGCCCAGTGCCGGTGAGCACCAAGGAGGCTCCAACGACATCGAGGGCGTGAGTCGAGACTACAAAGACCACCTGGGTAACTCCATAGAGCGCGGAGGCAACCAGGAGAGAGCCGTTCAGGAGTGGCCCCCGCGGGGCGCACCTGCGGGCCGACAGGACCGCAACAGAAGCACAACCCCACAGCCTCCCGTGGAAGCGAAGGATCAGAAGTTCCTCCGAAGCGGGGGTGCCGATGCCTTCACCAGCTACCCCACTCAGGGGAAGCTGCCAGATCCCAACAATCCCAGTGACCTTACGGTGACCTCCAGGGGGCTGACGGACCTGGAGATCGGCATGTACGCCCTGCTCTGCGTCTTCTGCCTGGCCATCCTGGTCTTCTTAATCAACTGTGTGGCGTTTGCCTGGAAGTACAGACACAAAAGGTTTGCCGTGAGTGAGCAGGGCAACATCCCCCACTCCCACGACTGGGTCTGGCTGGGGAACGAGGTGGAGCTCCTGGAGAACCCGGTGGACATCACGCTCCCGTCGGAGGAGTGCACGACCGTGGTGGACAGGGGGCTGCAGTTCGAGGAGAGGAACTTCCTTCTGAACGGCAGTTCCCAGAAGACGTTCCACAGTCACCTGCTCAGACCCTCTGACTATGGCTACGAGAAAGACATGAAAAGCGAACCTGTAAACCCTTCCGGCCCAAAGAGGAAGCGAGTCAAGTTCACTTCCTACACCACCATCCTCCCCGAGGACGGCGGCCCCTACACCAACTCCATCCTGTTTGACAGCGACGATAACATCAAGTGGGTCTGCCAGGACGTGGGGCTGGGGGGCTCAGCAGACTTCAGAGACTATATGGAGAGACTGCAGGACCAGATGTAACTCCTTTCTTACGTTTGTATTCACCTTTATGCCTTCTGTTTTTTGAACGGTGGAGCAGTGAGTTTGATCAGCAATAGGGGATGATCTAACAGAGCTCCATTTGTGGAGGTCTGGTGGGATCCCTTTCTTAGCAGGTGTCTGGGGCCCGGAGAGCTGTGCCGCAGGGTCTCAGGCCAGGAGATGGCTGTAAGACAGCCACCTGTAGGGACTGAGAAATTGTGAGACATTAGTATTAGGCACTGCCTGGTACCAACTCCATGCAGAGAGTAATCCCGCCCCCACGAACATTGTTAGTCATCTCATGACAAATGGCCGTGTACACAGAGAAAAGATTCGGGTGTTGATTTTTGTATTCCTAGACCTTTCAAAGCACAGTGGACACTTAACTGCCCCTGGCCTGAGTGTAGACGTGCGTGAAGGCTGGCTGAATGTAGCTACCCTCGTGTGCTGGGAGCGCTGCTCATTATTTTTATACACATTTGCCCCCCGCACCTGTTCCTTTGACCTCTGCCATTTCTTTTGAAACAGGAAGAGAAGGAATTTCAGTCCTTCCTTTGGGATCCATTTGATTTTTGTAGGAGTTTTGTTCCCTGGGATTTGCCATGTTGTGTTATTTCTTGTCAGTTTTCCCAGTTTTGTATGCTGCGTTGTCGAGGGAAACTACCTAAGAAGCATACTTGTTGTTTCCTTCTGTTGTTGGACTTTGTTGTGGGATACTGGGATGGGGGTTTTACTCAATGTGTTAACATGCTCTGAGGGAGGGCTGTCTCTTTACAGTTTTCTACATGAAGCTTAAAGGAATTGGAGGAAAGTTACAAATCTTTGAAGATCTGCAGGGGACTGCAGGGCGCCTGTCTGAGGGGAACCAACCCCAGCATGGCCGTGTTTACGCACTTGGTGGTCCACACAGCGTGTCTTCCAAACTGCAGAGAGGAAACTGCCTAGGAAAAAGCTCCAGGGTGAATTCTCATCTCACAGGAACATGATTTTTTTAGTAGGTGGGATGCTGTTTCCAGTTAGCAATATGTAAAGAGGTATCCATACCATGACCAAAAGGGGACGCGATCTCTCATGGCTCTGGAAGAGACCAAACCTTCAGGGGACACGGCGGGTGCTGGTGCACAGAAGCGACGCCCCCTACCATGCCCTGGACACTTCCTGGATGTCACTGATGGTTCCAGCGCTCAGGAGGCAGCTGTATGCAAAACCCTCAGCTTTCATGATGTCAAAGTGGCAAGAGAAAGATTCTGGCATAATTTTCAAGTTAAAAAGAACATTGTGAATGGTGTCAAGCAATGCAAGAGCTTCAGATGAACAAAATACGACAATGATGTATGTAAGAGAAGTCGACTCCAGGCTTGTGTGCCCATTCTGAGCTTCCCTGAGTCGTCTGCATCCATAAAAATCCAGAATTCTGAAGGCCCAGGGTAAGGAGGCAGGAGCAGCTCCTGGCTCCAGCTGGCTGAGCACTGGGCTGCTCAGGAGAAAGGCACTGAGGTGTCGGACATGACTGTGATGGCCCAGCCTCCTCTGGGAAGGCGGCAGCCAGGAAAGGGCTTGCAGTGCGTTTGTGAACAGTGCTGAAATGGCAGGTGCGTGGGCCTGGTCCCCGGGAGCCAGTGCTCAGTGGATTTTGTGAGCACGAAGCTGGTAAGGTTCCTGAAGTCTCCGTTCATGGGGAGGTGGGAGCCGGGAGCTGGGCGTTAGCCGCAGGGGTTGGCCCAGCGATGACTGACACCTGTTTGGAAGAGCTCTCCAGTTAGCCAGAGGCTTCTCGGAGGCTTTGGAGGGGAGGTGGCCCCTGCAGCAAGAAGGCAGCATGAAGAAATCTTCACGGACGCAGCTCCAGTTCTCTCTGCGGGAGCGCCAACATTCCAGAGACGCTGGGAATTCATCCCTGAAAGCAGGGGCCTGCCTGTCACACACTCAGCAGGTGGCGCAGTCAGACTCCAGGTGAGGAGATGCCCTCGCTAGGGGGCCAAGGAGGTGCCCACTGTTGCCAGGAGCATGTTTAGGGGACACACTAGGGCGTTTCCTGTGATAGGAGAGCTCGATGGGCAGAACTGGACGCTGACCGTGGTCCTGAAGGTGCCTTGCATGGACAGCAGGGCTATACCGCCTCCGTACCGGCCATTCATGCACTTGTGTCAAATCAGTTCAAAGTAAAAACCAAATGTAGGGGTCAGGGCAGGATCCCTTCTCCCATATAACCTACCCACATGTTGGAAAACACATGTACCTACACGTGTGTGTCAGTACCCAGGAAGCAGAGAGAAGCTGTCCTGTGGGAACCGACAGTGTGTGTCAGTTGTAATCAGCTTTGGTTTTGACAGTGTCCAGCATTATAGAATTTTCATGAGTTGCCTTCTCAGAATACACCCCACAGACCACAGTTCACGTGTTTGTCAGCTCATCTTCCAGCCGGCCGATACACAGCTGTTAGACTGCACACCTAAACCAACATGAGGAAAAGGACATACACTATTCAACTTTGGAATCCAGTTTCTGGGGGCTGGCTCGGGGGCTTGCATTTGCTTGGATTTTCTAGGTCGCTGTGGTTGCCAACTCCAACTAACTCATCTCAGTAAATAACCTGAGCCAAACACAGTTCATGAAACACCTTCATCTCCCATTGGAATTCAAATTCACAGGGAGCCACCTGGAGGCGGAGAGAGAGAGAGAGCGCACCAGCTGGGCCCCAGGGTCCCACAGAGGATGTGGAAGCCCCCATGACCTGGAACATGTGCAGCCACTGTCCCCAGGGTCCTGGTGTGCTGGTTTGGGGGCCAGAACACAAGGATCAAGGAGGAGCCACTGCGCTGGAGAACTGGCGTTTGAACACGCATGTGTGTGGCATCGAGAAGAAGCAAGACGCAAAGATGACGGATGCTTCTTTGAGAAGAACAACATCTAACAAACCTCAGACTCCTCCCTGTGCACCTGGAGAAGGGACAGTGGATGCCCCGGCTGTTTTCTATCCTTTATACCCACGGGTACAGGGAAAACACGATCACTTTTGTCCCATCACCATCCCTGTAGGCTGAGTCATTTGTCCCTTGCTCGTTTTTAAGTTTTACAAAGCCCACCTTTGTGCATTTTGATCGACATTCTTGGTTCACTCTTCTAGAAAGGGTCTTCTAAAAAGCTGGGCTGTTGAGACCCCCGTAGAAGTTCCTCCCATCACAGAAGCATTCAGTACGACAGCAGTGACCGCATGTGGTTTCATGGCATCCTGCGTGTCACTGGCACCGCTGGGTTTTCCACCCCAGGCTCTGTGAGTGCCGTGGCTGATGGCTCACAGACTCAGCAGCCCTCCGTGTTGAAACCGTGTCTGTGTCATGTACTGCGCATCACCTGTCATGTAAGGGGACAGTGTGGGTGGTGGGAAAGCTGTGTTAAAATATGGATAGCAGATATTTTTGTATGTAATATACGCAATATGCTGAAACACTGAGAAGTGTATTGGAATAAATATTTTAAAATAAAAGCATGCAAAACTGTAGCTTTTAAATGTACAGACATCCCACTCAAAAAACAGCTAAACCGGAGATTGGCAGCCGTGGGACCTGACGTGTGGATGCACTCCACTGAGAGCTGTGGCCTGCAAGGGCCGTGCTCATGTCGGGATTGTGGATGGAACCTCCTGGGACGGTTCGGTCTCACTCTGCATTACTTTTGAATTCTTCCTTTTTCTTTTTTCTCTGGAAATATTTGGGAAATAAAGTGACTTCATTTCTCAGCATAAAGATATATTATAACCACAGGGTAACTCATCATTTTTAACACGAAAATAAACATTGAAACATTCTTCAACTGCTTCATTATTTTATTCACATTTTCTCTTTTTAAATTTCGCATCTGTGTAATTACCTGTATTCATGTATCTTCACCCAGAGATGCTAACAACCTCGGTAATGAATTGACACCAAATGGAAGCGTTTCTTAAAATCTGCAAAAACCCTTTCTCCTTTCAGAAGCCTCTCCTGTGTTCTGCAGCAGACTGGGGGAGACCTCTTCCACCACGGTCTCGCTTCTCTCTCTCCTGCCCGGGGTCAAACCGTCTGGAAGCGTGGGCTTCTGCAGGGCGTCATCCTCAGCCTGTGCTCTCGGTCCGTTGTGGCCGTCGACGGCTTGGTTGTGTGTGTGAGGTTGGGGCAGGGACTTTGCATGCAGCCAAGGGCGCAGCGTGCTGAGAACCCAGGCAGGCAGAGCTCAGAGGCATAGGCAGATCCGAAGGCCAGTGTGCATCCGGGTGCAAGGCTGATGGACGGAAGCTTGGTGTGCTCTGGCCGTGTCCATTTCCGGAAACCACCAGTATCATTCTGGGCATTTTGGCAAGTGCCACCCTGTGCCTCTGGGGCTGCAGAGCGATGTGTCTTTGGCAGTAGCTTGATATGTCACCACGGATGTCCCATCCTGCACCTGGCCTTTCTCTGGGGCCCCATGGATAGCATTTAAGTCACGTGGAGCACACAGGAGTTGACTTTGTGAAATGGGGGCTGTGGAGTGTTGGGCCTCCCTGCCTCGAACATGCTGGCAGCAGATGAGCCCAAACACTCCCCCAGGTGCACCGGCCGAGCCCCGTCAGACTGCCCAGCACGGAGGGCACCTGCTTGTAGTTAACAGCTTCCCCCTCGGCCTTCTCCTCGGGACACAGGATGACCAAGCCACGGACCCCAGCAAGGTCTGTGCAGATCCCTGTGCCTGTTCAGTTCAGTAAAATTTGTTTCCAAAAATCAGGCAAAAGAAGTTTCCAATGAGATTTGTAAAAGGGTTGAACCTTTTGTATTGTGTGTGTGTGTGTCTGCGTGTGCTACGGACCAGCTGCCTTTCAGATTCTTTTGGTGTTGACATCTGTGTTGCTTCGTTGCTTGTTAGTTTTTTTTTTTGTTGCTTTGTACAATGTGGATGGGCTACAGAGGTTTCTCATTGGTTTCTTTTCAAACTTTGAAAAGTACAGAAAAGTGCAGGAACGCTCTCCCGTGGGCCGCAGTGTTTATAGCCCATCCCCCGGCTGCAGTCAATCAGCGCCATCACTTTGCAGGTGGGGAGTCGCTGAAGTCCATTAGGAAAGCCGTGTCCCCAGCGCAAGAAGCAATAACGCTGTCAGGCACCTCCCGTCCGTGAGATGCCTCTGTGTTTTCTTCGCCGCCAGTTGCTGCTGACGGCCAGCTGTTCAGATGGGACATCGCGGTTTCGTGTTGGTAACTGAAGCCTCTTCAGGTGCTGTGGCCAACAGGAGAACCAGTGACCATCATCCGAGACTGTACCGCCTGCCAGAGCTCTTCGGAGTCGAGGGGTTTGGAATCTGGGCACTGGGTGATGCTGGCTTCCCCGCCCTCTGAAATACTGCAGCTGCCCCCCAGTATCCATGCGCATTTGGTCCCAGGACCCCTGAGGTTACCAAACTCTGTATAGACAGAGTTGTGTACAGTGGCAGAGTATCAGTCTACACCCTACACAAATTATCTCCAGATGACTTTTAATGCCTAATGCAGTGTAAATGGTATAATATAATATGCTGTGCTATCTAAGGAATACCAAGAAAAAAGGCCGCACATGTTCGTTACAGATGCAGTTCTTTAAAATACTACTACCTGAGATTGGTTGAATCCATGGATGTGAAATCGGCAAATACAGGAACAGCTGGACTCCCTTTCAACTGATCCTTCTTTCTTTGACCAAAAGTGCGTCTGAAAGTTCCTGTTTTCTGTTGTGAGGACGGCCTCACTCCCTGTTGCTCCCTCGCAGGGGCCTGACTCAGCGCACCAAGCGTGCAGGTGCTGCGCCTGGTGCCGCTGTGTCACTGGAGACCCTCCTCAGCGTGCCTTTCCCCCTCCTTGCCATCCTGCCATCACCCTGCCTGTCCAGAAGTTCTCCCACACTACACGAGCACTGTTCCCACAGACAAGGTCGTCTGATGAGGACACGCATCTGGCACGTGTGAGTGCGGGCCTCCCGGCACTGACTGTTCTCACCCTGTGATTCGTCTCGCTGCCCACTGCCACTGGTCACACATGGAAACCAGCCTACGTGTATCTCCGCTGCCCCTGTGCAGCACCCTGTCTCACAGGCCAGCAGATGCCAGGGCGCTCATAGCACAGGGCACCAAACAGCTCCCTTGCTGTAACTGCACTCGACAGGGAGCCTACGGTGGACTGCTCACAAGGGCATTCATTTAAAACTCCACGTGGATCCCAGGAGCCAACCCATTGTTGAGCCTCCAATATAGCCGATAGCTGAGGCTTTCCCCGAACATCATTGTGAGTGGGAGCCAATGCCCAACTGTGAAAGGCAGGAGCTGAGAGCGGAGGATCGAGTTAATAAAGCAGTCACACACAGAGGAAGAGACCTGGCTATAAGTCACCTTCACAAACAGCAGGGCCACTGTGTGTGTGTGTTCATGGGAGAACGATTCCTGCAACGCTGTTCACCTGTGACGTGTGTCTGCAGAGCATGCTGGTGTCTTAAGATTTCCGTATGTCTCCTTGCCATCAGTACCCAGCCTCAGAATCTTCCTAAGCAGGTGGATCTAGTCTTGGTGGCAGAGCAAGCACACAACCTAGCTGTGCACTTTTGGGTGGTTTTATGTGGTTTCAGGGCAGCAAGCAGTGGGAACAAACTATCTGGCATTTGAACAGAAAATGTTGCCCCATTACTTTCCACTTTTCTGATTGGATTCTTGTTCCCTGGCAAACAGCAGACAATATGAACAGAGCATGCTGTTACAACATTGTGCTTCTGTACACTTGTGTAATGTTACCTGTCTCGTTCTATTACCCATGGTTTTCCGTGTGGCTTACTGTATCTGTTCTATAGCGTATATAGCATATCTGTAAAGGTACCCCCAGACATTTTGAAACAAAGAAATAAAAAAAGTTGGATGACTTCTTGTTATAGTAAAACACTTAATCGATACGTTCCAGGAAATGACTTTCTCTTCGAATGTAAGTACAGAAGAGGGTGTTAGCAAGCTGTTAGGTCCAGCCCAGAGGCAGTTATGTCTTCAGGGTCTTGATGACTGCCATTGGCTGACAGCTTGAAAATGAGAGAAAAGGATGGTTTCTTCAAGTGCAAGGCCAAGGTTCCAAGAGAACTGGCTTGCTTTTGAGTCCTTACGGAAACTCTCTGGTGAAGCCTCATGGCGATCCTGACTGTTTCTTGCCACTGCCCTCCTGTGCCTCAAGGAGCCTCCCAGAAATGAAGCATTGATGATCCGCAAGTGTCTGTGGTTCAGATACACAGGGTCTGTTCCTGGACAAGGCCAAGAGAAGCCCATCTTCCCTTAAAGCTCACAAAGTTGGATTTCAGTGAGAGAAAACGCTTTATTGAGGTGTAGCCGGGAGGAAATCCATTTTATTTATGAAATTTGATTTAGGAACTGTCATTTGGGCACCCAGAATTCCAGTTCACATTCATAGTCTTAGGGAGTGTTGGGCTTAGCACCAGACTAAACGTGTTTCCACTGCTCCGCATGACGTAGCTGGAGAAAGGCACCCGCTGTGCCCCTCCCGCCCTCACAGATCCTTGCTCCCAGTTGTTCTACTGCCTGAACTGGAGTCTGTGTGGCTGACCAACCCTCTGTTAGCATTCAGCTCTAGAAAAACTGAAATGCACGCCCACCCTCCATGATAGGGCCAGGCTGGCTGTCTCGGGGAACTGTGGCAACCTTGAGCTGACATCCGTGCCCTTAGGTCACTGTGATGCCAGAGGAGTCCATGGCACCTTGAATCAATGGTGAGATTGGCCCCAAGTGGACATAAAGCAGTGCCAATGAAAAACCCTGCCCTTTCTCCAAAAGGTAGTAACTGTATGAACAGAATGGCCAAGCTGTGAGCATTGGTCTGCGCCTTGGCTTTGCTTTAAACTGTAGGTGATAAGTAACTCAAGAATGCTGCAAAGCCAAGGCAGCTGAGGCCACTGTGGAGCAAGGTCAATCTACAGGGGAGTTTCCGTGGTGGACTGGACAGGCCTGGCCCACACCGCACATGCAGGCATGTCCTGCCCAATGCCCTAGGAGTTGTGGAAATTTTCTTTCTTTTTTTTCCCGAGAAGGCTACTGCTGGTGAAAATTCATTCTTCGGATGTCTAATTTTTAGAAGTACACTTGCTATAAAAATAGTTAATATGAACTTGTACACTTTGTGTATAAATATACTTGTTCTAAACTTGCAAAATTGATAACTGACACTAAGGAAGTTGACGTAGCCTAACAGAGTAATGTTTTCCCATGCAACGCACAGGAGAGCTGGTGTGGCCAGTGTAGTTTTTAAACTTGATTACCCCGAATTTGAAGGTAACCAGTGACCTTACACGGAATCAGAATGTGTATTTGGGTTTTTTCCAGGCCATGCTCTGTTAACCGATGAATTGTGTCCCCTTTCTGTGCGCACCGAGATCGGAGATGCAGGATGGAAAGACGAGTTGAGATGGAAGCTGTGATCCATGCAGAGAACGTGCCACAGCGAGCCACGGTCAGTGTGTCTGGGCCAGGGCTCCTGCCTGAGGGCCTCCTTGCCCTGTAACAGGAAATGCTGACCCTTAGAGCGCAGAGCACGTCTGAGGGGCGCGAGCGACTGCCGCACCCCGCGGGGACCTTGAAACAGAGGCTTTGCTCCTAGCCCTTCCCCTCCTCTCTGACTTCCTGTCTTCCCTTCAGTGATCTGGACTCGAGGTCTGGGGTTTGGAGTCTTCCATTGGCTCCCACAGCAGTCTTCATCTCCCCATATCCAGCCTCTAGAATGCAAGGGGGGAAACCACAACACCCCAAGTTTTGGTGTTTCCAAACACCTCCCAGACTCAATATT